TGACTCAAAGTATTGAGACAAAGTATAACCATCTGTACTTTTAAGGATCACTGTGACCTCCCATCTTCCAAAATGCGCTTGTTTGTTCTTTATTCTTCATCAGCACCACAATTCAGAGATTCTTCTTCAGTCTTCCTTATTGTCCAGTTTCAGATACATTTGAAAATATCATGATTTAGATCATCTTAGCCTTTAAATTGACATCCCTACTTTTTAGCATTTTAAGAAGACTTGACAGTAGACTTACCCAATGCAATATATTTTATTTCTCAACTTCTGTTTCCATGGGTGTTTATTGATGATCCAAGTAAAATAAAATCATTGGCAACTTTCAATCTTAGCAGCATTTATATGATGTTGCCTATTGGTCCATGTGTAAGGATTTTAGGTCACAAGTTTATTACACATAGGAAAACAGTATTTGCATTCATTGTGTAATGATTTTGCTCTTAGGTTTGTGCTCAACAATCAAGAGAACTGTTATTTTCAATACAAGTCTCAACTGAATGCTATTTATGTAGAATGTTATTATGTATTTATCCAGAGAGACAGAGACAGGGGTGATCAAGGTAGGTTCAGAGGTGATACTGATTGTGTAGTCAGGAGATAAAACAGTCAATACTTCAAAACAACTATGAGATGTCATCTCACCCCAGTCAGAGTAGCAAAATTTAACAGAACAGCAAGCAACAAATTCTGGCAAGGTTGTGGAGAAACTGGAATCCTTATTCACTGTTGGTGGAAGTATAAAATGGTGAAACCACTGTGCAGAGTGCTGTGGCGTTTTCTTAAAAAGTTGCAAATAGAGATACCATTTGACCCAGCAATTCCACTACAGGGAATATACCCCAAAGAGACCATAACTGCCACCTAAGCAGATATATGCACACCCATGTTTATCACGGCTTTGTTCACAACAGCAAGGAGTTGGAAACAACCTAAGTGCCAATCAACAAATGAATGGATAGAGAAGCTGTGGTATATTCCCACAATGGATTGAAAAACAAGGAACTCATGCAATATTATTCAAAATGAGTGACCCTGGAAGACATTATGCTGAGTGAAATATTTCAGTCAGTCACAAAAGGACAAATACTGCATAGTGTCACTGTTGTAAAACAGGACGGACATTGGGGTTGGGGGGAGACTGAGAAAGATGGGATAAATAATGTATACTGCATTGAAATAGATGAGGGAGAAAACTGTTTAAAAGGGATATG